ACCACTTATCCCACAGAAATACAAACTACCATTAGCGATTACTACCAACACTTCTATGCAAATAAACCTGTAAATCTAGAAGAAATGGATAAATTCCTGGACACTTACACCCTCCCAAGACTAAACCAGGAAGAAGTTGAATTCCTGAATAAACCAATAACAAGGTCTGAAATTGAGGCGGCAATTAATAGCCTACTAACCAAAAAAAGTCCAGGATCAGACAGGTTTACAGCCAAATTCTACCAGAGGTACAAAGAGGAACTGGTACCATTCCTTCTGAAACTATTTCAAACAATACAAAAAGAGGGAATTTTCCCTAACTCATTTTATGAAACCAACATCATCCTGATACCAAAACCTGGCAGAGACACAACTAAAAAAGAAAATTTCAGTCAAATATCCATGATGAACATTGATGCAAAAATCCTCAATAAAATACTGGCAAACCAAATCCAACAGCACATAAAAAAGCTTATCCATCATGATCAGGTCAGCTTCATCCCTGGGATGCAAAGCTTGTTTAACATATGCAAAGCTATAAATGTAATCCATTACATAAACAGAACCAAACACAAAAACCACATGATTATCTCAATAAATGCAGAGAAGGCCTTTGACAAAATTTAACAGCCCTTTATGCTAAAAACTCTCAATAAACTAGGTATTGATGGAACATATCTCAAAATAATAAGAGCTCTTTATGGCAAAGCCACAGCCAATATCATACTGAATGGACAAAAACTGGAAGCATTTCCTTTGAAAACTGGCACAAGATAAGGATGCCCTCTCTCACCACTCCTATTCAACATAGTATTGGAAGTTCTGGCCAGGGCAATCAGGTAAGAGAAAGAAATAGAGCATATTCAAATAGGTAAAGAGGAAGTCAAATAGTCTCGATTTGCAGACGGCATGATTGTATACTTAGAAGACTCCATCATCTCAGCCCCAAATCTCCCTAAGATGATAAGCAACTGCAGCAAAGTCTCAGGACACAAAATCAATGTGCAAAAATCACAAGAATTCCTATACACCAACAACAGACAGAGAGCCAAATTATTAATGAACTCCCATTCACAACTGCTATAAAGAGAATAAGTTACCTAGGAATACAACTAACAAGGGATATGAAGGACCTCTTCAAGGAGAACTACAAACAACTGCTCAAGGAAATAAGAGAGGACACAAACAGATGGAAAAACATTCCATGCTCATGATTAGGAAGAATCAATAACATGAAAATGGCCATATTGCCACAAGTTAATTTATAGATTCAATGTTCTCCCAATTGAGCTACCATTGACTTTCTTCACAGAATTGGAAAAAACCACCTTAAACTTCATATGGAACCAAAAAAGAGCCCACATAGCCAAGACAATCCTAAGCAAAAAAACAAACAAACAAACACACAAACAAACCTGGCAGCATCACACTACCTGACTTTAAACTATATACTACAAGCCTACAGTAATCAAAACAGCATGGTATTGGCATCAAAACAGAGATATAGACCAATGGAACAGAACAGAGGCCTCAGAAATAACACCACACATCTACAACCAACTGATCTTTGAACAGAGGCCTCAGAAATAACACCACACATCTACAACCAACTGATCTTTGAACAGAGGCCTCAGAAATAACACCACACATCTACAACCAACTGATCTTTGAACAGAGGCCTCAGAAATAACACCACACATCTACAACCAACTGATCTTTGGCAAGCCTGACAAAAACAAGCAATGGGGAAAGGATTCCCTATTTAATAAACAGTGTTGGGAAACTGGCTAGCCATATGCAGAAAGCTGAAACTGGATCCCTTCCTCACACCTTATGTAAAAATTAACTCCAGATGGATTAAAGATTTAAACATAAGACCTAAAACCATAAAAACCCTAGAAGAAAACCTAGGCAATACCACTCAGGACATAGGCAGAGGCAAGCACTTAATGACTAAGACACCAAAAGCAATGGCAACAAAAGTCAAAATAGACAAATGGGATCTAATTAAACTTAAGAGCTTCTGCACAGCAAAATAAACTATCATTAGAGTGAACTGGCAACCAACAGAATGGGAAAAAATTTTTGCAATTTACCTATCTGACAAAGAGCTAATATCTGGAATCTACAAAGAACTTAAATTTGCAAAAAAAAAAAAACAAAACATCAAAAAGTGGGTGAAGGATATAAACAGAAACTTTTGAAAAGAAGACATCTATGCAGCAACAAACATATGAAAAAAAACCTCATCACTGGTCATGAGAGAAATGCAAATCAAAACCACATTGAAATACCATCTCACGCCAGTTAGAATGGCGATCATTTAAAAATCTGGAGACAACAGATGCTGGAGAGGATGTGGAGAAATAGAAACACTTTTACGCTGTTGATGGGAGTGTAAATTAGTTCAACCATTGTGGAAGACAGTGTGGCAATTCCTCAAGGATCTAGAAATAGAAATACCATTTGACCCAGAAATCCCATTACTGGGTATATATCCAAAGGACTATAAATTGTTCTATTATAAAGACACATACACATGTATGTTTATTGCAGCACTGTTCACAATAGCAAAGACTTGGAACCTACCCAAATGCCCGTTAATTATAGACTGGATTAAGAAAACGTGGCAAAAATACACCATGGAATAGTATGCAGCCATAAAAAGGACAAGTTCATGTCCTTTGCAGAGACATGGATGACACTAGAGACCGTCATTCTCAGCAAACTGACACAAGAACAGAAAACGAAATACCACATATTCTCACTCATAAGTGGGTGTCAAACAATGAGAACACATGGACACAGGGAGGAGAACATCACACACCAGGTCCTGTCTGTGATAGGGGGCTAAGGGAGGGATAGCAGGGGATGGGGGGATCGGGGAGGGATAGCACTAGGAGAAATACCTAATGCAGATGATGGGGTGATAGATGGAGCAAACCACCATGGCATGTGTATATCTATGTAACAAACCTGCACGTTCTGCACATGTACCCCAGAACTTAAAGTATAATAAATACATTAAAAAGAAAAAGAAAAGAGAATACTTAGAAAGGACATTAACTCAGTCTAAATACATTACTGGGGACCTAAAACTGATCAATCTGTTCTGCTGCCCCATCAGGCTCATCTAATAATGGCTTAAGTTCTCTCTTTAGACTCGGAACTTAAGAAGCAGTTAAGGGAGCATTCAAAAGGCCAACTGTGCCTCCTCCTTGAGGCTTCACAAAACTAACGGTGCCTCCTCGATGAGGCATCTTCTTTAGAGAAAAAAAAGCTTTGAAGCTGAAGCTGATTCCTTGGAAGACGAGGGAAAAGGAAAACTCTAAATATCTCTTTTGCATTGCTCTATCTCCCTCTGGAGCTCTTTCTTCAAGGAAGAACACTCAGGCTGGCAATGATCAGGTCTTTAAGACACTAGCTCCCAAGAGCCTGGGTTATACCGAGGAGTAGGGAATTCTGGGTTGGGTTCTGGGGTGGCAGCTTGGGGAGGAGAGGGAGGAGCTGGAGCGGGAAATTAGGGAAGATGGTCTAAAGGGTCCCATTTACATGTGGTTTGCTCAGGGGTCAAAGCTCCACTCTTTTTAGGTGAGACTGCTCCTGACTTTATTCTACTCTCTTATTGTTTTCCTCCTCCTCTTAATGGGTAGAGGAGAAATGGCCCTTGCTGCCAATAGAGAGCATAATCTGTTTCTTCTTGTGAGACAGGGCTTTTGTTGTTGACATACATTATTAACAGTTGACAATCCTAATCCTCACCCGACCCAAATTTTGGCCAGACAACTGTGGTCTTGAGGATTGGTTCTTTAGTTCAAATAAAACAGTAATACTTTATCATTTGTTACAGAAGACTCAAACCCCCAAGCTGGGACTCTCTTGCCTATTCTGTTGTAAAAACTTAGAGCTTATAGAAGACTCAACTCCTCAAGCAAGGAATTTCTTTCCTTCGCTGCCCTGGGAGGTTGACCTGTTTCCTCTCTTCCCCCTTCTGAGGGTCCCTTACACTGAGGGTGCGGTCAGGACTTGTCACCATTCACACAAACAACACCACGTTCACACACACACTCCACACTTCAGAAGTTGACCACCAAGGAAGTATTTTGTTGCCCCTTTGCAATGTTTCCTACCTTGGCTCATGCACGAGATTGCCTGGCCAAGGCCCCTGGTCGCTGCGGTTAATCTGTTTCCTCTGGGTTGCTGCGTCCTGGGTCTCCGCTCCCCCACCCAACCCTGCCACCGCTGTAGGGCATGATGGTGCCTCCCCACAAGAGAGGAGCAAGGACTGCCCCAGAGGGGAAACAGAATCCCAGATTTGTTGGAAACAGGTTTATAAAGTTGGGAAAAATCCACACCAAGACAATGCATCACTCAGCAAGGGTAGTTTACTTCCTGCAGGAAGGGTGCAACTTGCTGGCAGTCTTGCCACGAGAGCACATCTGAACAAAGGAGGCAGGGACATTTATAACTTTCATAACCTGAAGCAATCACCTGACTTCTGTGTCCAGTTTCCATTGGCCAGAATGGGACCTTACATTCTATGCTTGACCTGATGGGCTAAAAACTTGGAAATTTCCTGGATAAGGGGGAATGGCATGCACGAGGGTTTGGAGCTTGCCCAATTCTGTTCAGACATGATGGAGCGAGTCAAGGTAGCTGATTTAATATGTGGCTGATTGTTTATTTTTGGTTTTTTGAGATGGAGTTTCACTCATTGCCCAGGCTAGAGTGCAATGGCGCAATCTTCTAACCATGACCTCTGCCTCCCAGGTCCAAGCGATTCTCCTGCCTCAGCCGCCCAAGTAGCTGGGATTACAGGCATGCACCACCACACCTGGCTAATTTTGTATTTCTAGTAGAGACAGAGTTTCTCCATGTTAGTCAGGCTGGTCTTGAAATCCCGACCTCAGGCCCACCTTGGCCTCCCAAAGTGCTGGGATTACAGGCGTGAGCCACTGTGCCCAGCCAAGAAGTAGCTGATTTAGAGAATATATACATGGAGCTTTGCACAGTGGCGGTATCATAGTCAATGAGGTTTATCTGAGGCGCGATAATTGCTAATTGAAAACTTTTCCCAATACCCCGCCACAACGACTTGAAATATAGTCGGCATTGGCAATTTTGGGGTCTCTATGGGGACTGAATTTAAAAAAAAAAAGAATATACACATGGGTATATGTTTATGCTAATAGTGGATAATGGCCATAGAGTGAGAGATTGTAACTTCTGATAATGTAGTCCACAATATAAACTTCAAAGAAGAACTTTCCCATCTCTCACATTAGATAAGCTAATTTTATAAGGAGTGCTCACAGAGAGATAGCACAGATAATTGGCCTGAGGCTGGCTATTAATCTTTCACAGCAATTCCTAACAAGACCAGCGTGCTACACATACAGGAGAATAAAGATAGTCACGGTCAAACCTTATTTTATTGAATTCTGCTAATTTTGAATGTTCAAATTACTCAGAAACTTGGCTGACCTGTTCTTTGACATTGCGTACAGAAAATTTGGTTTTTAGAGAAAATTAATAATAAAAACAAATACTTAAATAGCTCTTCCAAGTTTGTCTTGCATATGTGTTATTTTATTTGATAATGAGAATGTAACTACTGCCACCTTGGGAATCTTTACCTGTGAGTTTTAGCTCTTCTCAGTAGAAGATATTGAAGCAAGTGAAGTTTGATGAATCATTGTCCTCTCTGAACTGAGTTGGCCATCGCTTGGGAAGGGCACTCAGTTCAGGTGATGATCCCAGTTTCGACTTCTTCCTCACACCATTCCCAAGGATCCCAGGGGTTTGGGTTTGAAATGTTATATCCTTTTTGACTATTTACTTATTTTAATGTATTTATTTAGAGACCGAGTCTCACTCTGTCGCCCAGGCTGGAGTACAGTGCCACCATCTCAGCTCACTGCAACCTTTGCCTTCCTGGTTTAAGCAATTCTCCTGCCTCAGCCTCCTGAGAAGCTTGGATTACAAGTGCATGCCACCACACCCCACTATTTGTGTGTTTTTAGTAGAGATGGGGTTTTGCCCTGTTGCCCAGGCTGGTCTCGAACTCCTGGGCTCAAGCAATTCACCCACCTCAGCCTCTTAAAGTGCTGGGATTACAGGTGTGAGCCACAGTGCCCAGCCTATCTTTTTTTTTTTAGAAAAATGCAGGCTCATGCCTCTAAGAATAGAGCTGAAGAATCTTAACCGACCACTTATTTTCTTTTACCAGGTCCAAATCTTTGGAGAAAAGTAAAATGTAGCAAAATGTTTAAGTGGAATTTTCCCTGAGAGCCCAAGGCTCTAGATATTAGATACAAAAATGAGTTTCTTTTCTTTAAAAAAAAAAAAAAGGCATTTATTCAGTGTCATGGTCAGATTATTACATTTAGCAATCAACAGCATGGATGCAAAAATAAAATTCTACATTAAAACCCTTTGTTGGAATGTTTTACACTTTCCACAGAACAGAAAATAAAATAACCTGTTATACAATTAGTCACAAATACAGTCCTCGAGTTTTTTGCCCATACACATGAGAATTGTCTAAAACATGTCTTTTTAGCAGCTAGGCCCCGTCACCACTGTGCTTGGCTGAGTTCACAAATCTGTTGTAACCTGTAGCTTCCCTGTCACTTCTCTGGCTCTCCTCTCCTGCTAAGCTTTGTTTCCTAATTAAAATCTTCTGCCACTGCCATAGCTGCTGCTGCTACTGGAACCGCCATAGCCACCTTGGTTTCGTGGTTTGGCAAAGTATTGGCCGTCACCACCATAGGGGCCAGAGCTTCTGCCTCCAAAGTTTCCTCCCTTCCTGGGTCCAAAACTTGAAGACTGATTGTTGTAACTGCCAAAATCATTGTAGCTTCCACCACCTCCAAAATTGCTTCCATCATTACCAAATCCATTATAGCCATCTCCACTGCCACCATATCCACCACCACCACGTCTGCCACCAAAGCCACTATGACCATGACCAAAGTTGTCATTCCCACCGAAACCACCTCCACGACCACCACCAAAGTTTCCAGAACCCCTTCGACCTCTTTGGCTGGATGAAGCACTCTCCATCTCTTGCTTTGACGGGGGCTTTCCAAACTTCACAGCCGTGGCCATTCACAGTTTGGTGTTTCTGAATGACAATCTTATCCACAGAGTCATCGTCGTCAAAGGTTACAAAGGCAAGGCCTCTTTTCTTGCCACTGCCTCTGTCCATCATGATTTCAATCACTTCAATTTTTCCATACTGTTCAAAATAATCTCTTAGGTGATGTTCTTCAGTGTCTTCTTTAATGCCACCAACAAATATTTTTTTCACAGTTAAGTGGGCACGTGGTCTTTGAGAATCTTCTTTTGAGACAGCTCTCTTTGGTTCCACAACTCTTCCATCCACTTTGTGTGGCCTTGCATTCATGGCTGATTCACCTCCTCCACAGTTGCATACGTGATGAACCCAAAGCCCCTGGAGCACTTGGTGTTTGGATCTCTCATTACCACAGTCTGTGAACGTTCCCCATTGCTCAGAATGGCTCCTCAGGCTCTCATTGGTTGTTTCAAAGCTCAACCCTCCAATGAAGAACTTCCTCAGCTGTTCAGGCTCTTTAGGAGACTGACTTAGACATGGATCGCAGGGAGAAGAGAGACTTTAACGATACTTCTTCAGCATCATCCACAGGCAGAAAGGAGCAAACTGACAAACATATCTCCCAAAATAAGTTTTGAGATGAACCATCCTAAAGGAGATTTAAAGTATATATATGAAAACTGGTAACATGGCTGGTAACAACCCTTGACCTATATTGAGAACATAAATGAAGCAAATTGTTTTAAAAAGGGGAAGAACTTGTGGTACATGTACTTGCAGAAAATGGTTCTGTGTTTGTCTCTCTGCCCACCTCAGGGGAGTAGTGGAGGGTCCTTCTCACTTTACATCAAGTGAGTAGACGGGTGCCTGACTCCCACCTGGAAAGTCCTGAAGCCAGAGAAGGGCTGGCATTAGATGCCGAAGCAGGAAAAATACAAGGGAGTGAAGGGCAAGTGTCCTGTGCTCCTACAGTGTCAGAGTACAGGATGTGTGAGTGCTTTTAAGGCTCACTGAGCCCTCTCAGTAGACAGCCAGACTGCCATTTTAAATCCTGCCCCAGGGACATGAAAAGAATGAGAGGACATCTGAAGACAAGAGTCTATGTGGCATGAACTTCTGAAAAACAAGAGAGAGAATTGGCCAACCTGTTGAACCACTACTTTCACCCAAGTCACAGGAAATGCAGCCAAATGTTCCATGGACAGCCTCCAGAGAACCCACCCGAGAAGAGTCCCAGGAGAGAAAAAGTCAGCTTTAAACCCCTGCCAGATCCAGAGTTGTGAAGCCATTTTCCAAGTATACCAGTAAAATATGAACTTTCCTGCAGTACCGTGCCAAGCCTTATTGGAGCCTGAGGCCGCAGGGAAAATCTGTACCCCTATATACACACACTTACCAAAATACCCTTCCATATTGTGAACCAAGTGGAAAAGTTAATAAAGACTCTCCAATCAAAAACCATGATTCCACATAATGTCCCAGATTGCCCAATCTGTTCACATGCCATTGTAAATCTTTATAAACCCACCCATCAAAGGACACCACGGCCCTGCACCCCGTGAACCTCAGGCTGATCAGAAACACTGTTCCCTTTGAGCAATAACTCGAGGTCACAGAACAAACAGAAACAGGCCGCCTTTTTTTGTGTACATTTTTGGTATTTTGTTCATCCTGGATGTTTTTTGCCTTTAGACTTAAAGAAAAATATTGCAGGGCTGGGAGCAGTGGCTTATTCCTGTAATACCAGCAGTGTGACAGGCCGAGCCAGGTGATCGCTTGAGCCCAGGAATTCAAGACCAGCATGGGCAACATAGCACAATTCTATCTCCACAAAAAAACAAAAAAATGTAGCTGGGCGTGATGGTGCATGCCTATAGTCCCAGTTACTCGGGAGGCTGACCTGAGAGGATTGCTTGAGCCTGGAATGTCAAGACTACAGTAAACAGTAATTGCATCACTGCCCTCCGTCCTGGGTGACAGAGCAAGACCCTGTCTCAAAAAAAAAATTGCATTAATCTTTATCTTGATTCCTGAGCCCCCTTAAATTTTGCACAAGGTGAATGCTTTACTGCTGGCCCTACTTTTCTACAGTTTTCCTTCATTCATCATCTTAGCAAGGAGGAAATCTAAAATGAATAAACTCACGGAAGCACAAAGTAAAATGGTGGTTGTCTGCGACTGGGGGAGGAGAAATGGGGAGATATTGATCAAGGGGTACAAAGTTTCACTTATGCAGGATGAATATGCTCTGTAGACCTAACCCACAACAATTGCACTACGTTAAAATACTGTCTTGTATACTCGAAATTAGCTAAGAAGGGAGATTTTAAGCGTTCTCACCACACACACACACACACACACGCACACATGCACAAATAAAATAGTAACTATGTGACATGATAGATATTAATTAGCTTGATTGTGATGATTATTTCACAATGTATGCATATATCAAAACAGCAACCTGTACACTTTAAATATATACAATTTTTATTTGTCAATTATACATGAACAAAGATGGGGGGAAGGTTAGGTATGGTGGCTCATGCCTGTAATCCCAGCACTTCAGGAGGCCAAGGTGGGCAGATCATTTGAGGTCAGGAGTTCGAGACCAGCCTAGCCAACATGGTGAAACCCTATCTTTACTAAAAATACTAAAAATTAGCTGGGCATGGTGATGCTCACCTGTAATCCCAGCTACTTGGGAGGCTGAGACAGGAGACTCATTTGAACCCAGGAGGCAGAGGTTGCAGTGAGCCAAAATCATATCACCACACTCCAGCCTGGGTGACAGAGTGAGACTCTGTCTCAAAAAAAAAATGGGGTAGCTTGGAGGAAAGCCATAGTAGCTTCATTAATTTAATGGGCAATAATATGCTCTAGTTAAGTACCTTATAAACAGAAAAGTGCTAGAGAATGTTGACAATGATCATCCTCTTTGTGCTCTCCTTGCTGTTGTTCTGTTTCTGCAGGCCAAGCATCAGGGCTGCCAAGGACATTCGTGTTGGTTACTTTCTGCACACCAAGATGTGTCTTTCATATTGTAGTTTTTGTGAATGGC